CAGATCAAATCGTAACTCTACGTATCATTGTGGAACAATCAATCGAATGGAATTCATCACTGTACATCAACTTCATCGACTACGAGAAGGCATTTGATAGCGTGGACAGGACGACACTATGGAGGCTTCTTCGACACTACGGCGGAACTCCTATGATGGACTAAACTGCCAAATCGTCCACGGAGGACAACTCACCGACTCGTTTCAAGTAAAGACCGGTGTGAGGCAAGGTTGCTTACTCTCACCCTTTCTCTTTCTCCTGGTCATCGACTGGATCATGAAGACGTCAACATCTGGAGAAATGCACGGGATACAGTGGACAGGCAGGATGCAGCTTGACGATTTAGACTTCGCGGATGATCTGGCTCTTCTATCACAAACGCAACAACAAATGCAGGAGAAAACGACCAGTGTAGCAGCAGCCTCAGCAGCAGTAGGTCTCAATATAAACAAAGGGAAAAGCAAGACTCTCCGATACAATACAATATGCACCAATCCAATTACACTTGACGGAGAAGCTTTGGAGGATGTGGAAACCTTTACATATCTGGGCAGCATCATTGATGAACACGACAGATCAGATGCAGATGTGAGGGCGCGGATCGGCAAAGCAAGAGCAGCATACTTACAACTGAAAAGCATCTGGAGCTCAAAACAATTGTCAACCAACACCAAGGTTAGAATTTTCAATACAAATGTCAGACAGTTCTACTGTATGGATCAGCATTTTGGAGAACTACGAAAGCCATTATCCAGAAGATACAAGTGTTCATCAACAGCTGTCTACGCAAAATACTTCGGATCCGATGGCCAGACACTATCAGCAACAAGTTACTGTGGGAGACAACAAACCAGATTCCAGTGGAGGAAGAAATCAGGAAGAAGCGTTGAAGTGGATAAGACACACATTGAAGAAAGCACTCAAATACTTCACAAGACAAGCCCTCACATGGAATCACCAAGGTCAAAGGAGAAAAGGAAGACCAAAGAACACACTACGCCGAGAAATAGAGACAGACATGAGAAGAATGAACAAGAACTGGATAGAACTAGAAAAGGAAGCCCAGGACAGAGTGGGTTGGAGAAAGCTGGTCGGCGGCCTATGCTCCATTGGGAGTAACAGGCTTAAGTAAGTAAGTAAGTAAGGGTGAACGGTGTGTCTATTAATTGAAATATTTCTCTAACGTAGCTGCTATCTTGACGACGTAGACGAGATTTCCTTGGCTGAAACAAATGACAATTTAGGTACTAATGTGCCAGACAGGTCTGTTGGAGAACGGTAAGACTAAAAGAAGCAAACCCAAAGTCAAAGGAAGAAGTCGTACTGCTGACTGTAGAGAGCTGTGAGATCATCTTGCTGCAAAATGAATCCTTCCTTCATCTCCCCATAACCCTTCCATCCCCAAGAATTACTCCACTCAATTATCTTAATCATCATGCGCCTCCAATGCTAATGATTTGAGTTCACGAAATACTATCCCTGGTCTCCTGAAACCACACTCCAATCTACATGTTGGAGCTTTCAATATTCAAACCATGTGTCAAATAGGAAAACAGGTTATCATTCCCTATAGAGCAGAGGTTTAGACTCAGATTACGCTCTAATTCGAGCACGTATCTGTCTGCATCTTGCTGAATGTCAAAAAGCCACTGCAAGAAAACCTCTTACAGTCCAGCTCAATGACAAAACAAGTTTAGAATATATTTCAGAAACAACTAGAGAACGAGCTAGTCAACAGTGAAAATTATGTCCACCTTGAGGTAACTTGACATGACGTCCGAAAAGCTGTGGAAACAGCAGTGATATTTACCAGTCACTGAAACCAAAAGGTCAGGAAATATCAATGGATCTCAGCAGCGTCTACGGAACTGATAGATACTCGAAAACTCATCCCGTCTGGCTCTAAATATGATGAGGAATGGAGGCAGCTTAAATGTTACTTGATAAAAAGCTTACTCTATGATCGTGAACAGTGATGAGTAGCGAAATCAAAAGACAAGGAAAAGGCAGCTGTGATAGGTAACAGTAGTCAACTGATCAGACTTATCAAACAAACAGGCATTAAAAATACGGCTGTTAATGAGACTATCTCAGTAAAACACGGGACTACTCTTCACTGTCAATTCTGGAGATCGGAATGATAGGCAGAACAACTTAGGGAAAAGTTCAACTGGTCTCCAGCCACACTTCACTTACTTACTATCCAGAACCGAGCTTAGTAAGGTTGATAAGACTATAAGCAATCTAAAGCGAGGGAGAGCAGCAGAGCCTGATGGACTAACCCCTTAAATTTCTAAGAATGATGGTCTATTTTTAGCAGTTGGGTTAACTGATATCTTAGCTAGAATCTGGGAATTGGACGTAATCCCATCTGACCGGTCTCGATTGCTGATTGTTAGTCTATAAGAAAGGACGTAAGACATATTATGGTTCAGTCTTCAGTAATAAGGATAGTAGGCTGATAAACATGTGTTAATCCTGACAGATTTCCTTCCAGTGAAGGTCCAGCTTCTTTTTGAAAATGTTCACTGATGGTGCTGATATCACTTGTTCTGGTAAAGCGTTCCAATCATTGACCACTCGATGAGAAAAACGGGACCCCACCTTTAGTTTATTAGATCGCGGTTTCAGAACCTTTTTGCTGTAACCTCAGAAATTATTAGTGCAGGAGGGAGCAAAAAGATAAGACATATTAACACCCAGATCATAATTAAAGATACGAAATGCCAGTATAAGGTCACCTCGTCACAATTGATTGATCACTAGGTGGTGATCAATCTCATGCGTGTCAGATCCTTAGTGCTGATCGAATGCTATCGATCAAGTTGCAATGTGGCCACCAGTCTAGGTGGCTCGACACTGCGGGCACTATATATATTAGGGTAACATGGTGGTTGGAGGTGGTCAACAGGAAACCCTGGACCCGGGTTTCGTGCTACTTGGCACTCGTCAGCAAGGTGTACCTGTAATCTTGAGGGAACTGATGCTCCCTGGCGGATTTGATCCCGCGTCACTCAGCTTCACAGTCAGAGACGTTACCACTGAGCTATTCGGGCCGCGACCGACCTCCTGTATGACTGAGATCTAATCACAATTGATTGATCACTGGGTGGTGATCAATCTCATGCATGTCAGGTCCTTAGTGCTGATCGAGATTACAGGTACACCTTGCTGACGAGTGCCAAGTAGCACGAAACCCGGGTCCAGGGTTTCCTGTTGACCACCTCCAACCACCATGTTAAGGTCACCTCGTGTCCTACGATAAGATAAGGGGAAAAGGTTTAGACGCTTTAAACTCTCATTGTAAGGGAGTTTAGAAAAACCTTTTACTAATTTTGTCTCTACACGTTGGACACGCTCAAGCGATTTGGTATCCTTTATCAGACAAGGGCTAACTGCTTGGATACAGTATTCTAAGTGTGGCCTTACATAGGTAGGATATAAAATTCGATACATCTCCTCGTCGAAGCATTTAAATGCTCTGCGAAGCGACCATAGCGCACGATAGCCTTTGGAAGCAACCGCATTGCAGTGCGTAGTAGTTTTCAAGTCGTGACTTATAGTTACTCCTAAGTCTTTGTGCTCTTGAACGTGCGGCAGAGATGTACCATTAATGGTATAGTGGTAACTAATATCGTGCCCGATGTGCATGAACACGCTCTTCCTGGAATTAACTTCCGGGCCCCAATCATGAGCCCACCTAACTAATTCGTCTAAATCTGCTTGCAGATAACAACGATCAGTCTCATTTCTTATTGTTCTCCAGATTTTAACATCATCCGCAAACAATAACGTCGACGACTTAAGTAATAAAGGTAGTTCATTAATATACAGAAGGAAAAGTAAAGGGCCCAAGATGGTGCCTTGGGGTACACCACTTTTGACCGGTTTCCATTCGGATAGAGTTCCATTGACTCTCACTCTCTGTCTGCGGTCACATAAAAAGCTTCCTATCCATTCCTCTATAGCACCTGTTATATCAAAGCTCGAGAACTTTTGCATAAGACCACCTTGTCAAACGCTTTGCTAAAATCTATAAATATCACGTCGACAGACTGGCCGTTGTCTAGGGCAGCTGTCCAATCCTCTCTCGCAATGAGTAAGTTAGTCAAGCATGAATGCTTGTTACGAAACCCATGTTGCTCGGGAGTTAACAGATTGTACGAATCTATGTGACTCAGTAGCTTAGCCCGAATTAATTTTTCAAGTAACTTAACTACTCTACTGTTCAGGCTAACAGGCCGATAGTTACGACCTGTGGCAAATCGATTGATCAGGTAGTGATTCTGCATCAGTTGAGATGACAGGGACATGTGTTACGTATGCCTAACCACTGCCTACTTCAACGGGCGATGTTGTTTGGTGTAGAAGCAGGTTGGGGCAAAGCTAGGAGCACCCAAACAAAAATATGGAGTCACTGACAACTGGACTGATCTATGTTAATAGGTACAAACTACTTGAAGGATGTCTGCGTGATCATCGTTACCAATGATTAGAGACTATGAGTGACATGGCTCAAAACCAGTTGCAATGGTGCAGGTGCATCCATTCTTTGTCTTCTCATATATTTTGAGATTCTGAACTCCTCAAAACTACTTTTGCTTTTATTTCGCTAATTTATATTTTCTTTCCGAGTCGTGTCTTCGATGTCTAATACTTCTTGTTACCAATGATACTGTTACTATCTCTACTATTCTGGGATATAATGTGACAGTATGATCTCTCAGTGCTAATGTAGTATGGCAACTTGAATCGATGTACATAAGTACCAGGTTCCACATTGTAACTGGCTGCCTAATACTAAAAAGACAATGAACCATGTCTGAAACATCTATTAAAGATGGTTTGAAGTATAAATACTGTGGAGGAATAACAAACAAACTAATGTTAAAACTGGCTGCCTAATACTACTATAGATTCTTTTCATTAATAATGAAATCGTTAGATCTTCAATAGCACACTGAATCTAAATCTATTTCAATTCACAATCTTTTTTTAGGTATCTCCATATTAACCGCTTTAATTCTCTTGGTGATTAAATCTATTAATGAAGCAAATCAAAATTCATCATCTGAGAATAAATCAACTGTTACAATTGGTTGGTCATTGATTATTGTTTGTTGTGGAATCTTTATACTTGGTATTGCCGTATGTCTTGTTTTATTTGATAAAGGTGGTGAAGAAATTGATTATCGTGAAACAATTCATCGATCTTCAAATTATATAGGAGATTCATAGAGATAGAAAAAAGCAACCAGTCAGGAAATAAATGGTATGAAATGGGGATGAAGCAATTCAAGTCAATAAGCGTCTAACCAGCTATGGTGCATATATAGATACTTATACTTGTATTTCTGTAGGCAAAGCAAAACGGACACAAAACACATATACATATAGTATAGATTTGTGTACACACGTATACACAAATGTGTTGCCTTAATTTGTATCCAGATTAAAAATTGAATTCGCTAATTGGTATCAAATGTTCTTTGTTTTTGAATATTCTATTGGGGTTTTTTAAACTACCATTGGCATTAGTTGACTTTTTAAATTCACCAATAGCATATCTGTTACCTTTAGATATGTTTGCAATTTTGTTGGCACAGGAAAGCCCCCGAATTCCATGGTACGGCCGAGAGTGGGGAGAGTCCGATCTGCCCCTCGAAACGCTCTCACATATCCATGCGTATGTAGCCTCTGACAGGGAAGTCCTACTCACTGCCTTCACGTGGCGGGATAAGGTGTTGTTAACGAAATTGAGAGGATTAAAAGCGATTGTCCGGCGCTTGAATCGGGTTGGTGGACACGGAACATCTACCTAGGGGAGTTGGAAAACCCTGATTCCAAACCAATGGTGCACATGAGCTTCAGTATCCTGAAGGAACAAATGGCGTATGAACCAATCGTTTGTCACTGGCTACCATGGGACTGCATCTCCTTATGATGTTCCACTACCTTGTGGACTAGACCTTTAGGTCAAAGGCTCCGGGTGTGGCCCCCTAAGAAAACCGCCTGCTTCAGTCTGGGCAGTATCTCAGCCCTCAAACAAATCAAATGAGAATTGTGCGGTGCATATTTATCTGGTGCTAACTTGTACCAATATTTGTGTTTAAATAAATGTATTTATCATACCAAGGGTGAATCATGTTAGTCGTTTTTGTGATTTCATTCTTGAAAGACTATTCAAAGTTAGTCACTCAGTAATAATTTTACACACCTACAGTTTTCTATCCATGGTGATATATCCTGAGTAATGTGTTAATCAATCATTTTGTTTTCTAATGTCTAATCTGTCGAGATTTTGCACGTGATGTGAGGGCATTTCGAGAGGGAGAGCGGACTGTTCCCACTCTCGGCAGTACCAGGGCATTTGGGGGTACAGATATGAGCGGTATCATTAGTTTCAATAATTTAGGCAATGTATACAACGAATGTGAAATGAAGATGTGCACGATTAGTTGACCTAGTTAAGAATGTCAACATATTAGATTGCGCAATTCAAGACACTTGATAAGATTTGAACTACTCATAAGTAAGTATTTGCATGTTGAAAGAAATGATTTACGAAAGATGGTACATAATCAGAGAAGCTGGTCTTCGGGTTGACAATCCAAATACATATGATTTTTATTAATCACGTTGCAGAACTTTTATCGTAACAGGGAATCCCTTCTGCAGTGTATACATTTTGATGGGAATACATATTGATAACCCATCTGAGACACAAAAGTCGAAATATTAACAATGTAGTGAATTCGGTTATTTGAAAAAAAGTGATTTCAGTACAATACTGTTGATACGACCAGTATTACTAAACGGAAGAGCTCAATGTCACAGAGGAAGTAAGTCAAAGGCCTATTTCCTGCACCAACTGATAGATGAAAAAAGTTGATATTTGTGAATGCTTTTAGGAATCAATCCGAACGAGTTTTCATGGAGCCTGAGTCGACAGCACTCGATTTCAAAGTTCGAAAATACGACGATTTGTGGGAATTCGACTTCGTTTAGGATGAATATATCGATGATCAAAATAGTGTAGCTAAATTGATTGATCACAGAGTTCCGAGAAATGCCATACTTGTGTAGTTCGTTTCTGCTGTGATGAAATTCCATCATGTCGCAATGTGTCTACTAGTTTAATTGCATTAATATCACGTCTATTGGTTTTGGTGTTACTTAGTTAAACGTAGTCGGCAAGAAGCAATAGATCTAGATTTGTGTTAATGGATACTCGTTAGGGAAATTACTTATAATTATTACTGAATTGATGCTTCTTGAGATGTCCAAACCTGGCCCCTAGTCAGCTGTAATAACGTCTTTCAGTGTGAAACTACGTAACGCGGGTTTCAACCTACCAATGGGCATCTCTTGACAGTTCAACTACCTTTTGCTGATGAGTGCAAAGCAGTACTCAAAAAAAGGTTCAGGGAATCCTGCAAACTACCACAAAAAATACCCAATATTTTAGTTGCTACACTGTATGACTTTTTTACTGAAATCAAATTACAAGTATTTTGTATACTGATCAACTAACTCGATTACCACTTCAGAAAAATTGAGGCATAAGACGAAAAAATATATTGCGAGTGGATTTCCAGAGACTGTTTTAAGAAAAGTAACGAACTTTGACATTAATAACGAATTCATTAAACGGTACGCAGAAATCGGAAAATAATTGAATGGTTACCAGACATTGCTTATGTAAATATGATACTAATGTCAAATATTCTCATAGTTGAAAGTGTGAGTCAATTGAAGCTAAACCAAATAATCTGTTTGTAGTTCACCCCACGAATAAGATAAATTTCAGATGACCGAATTCAAACAAGTTCAAAGATCTGGTCTAAGAATTAAATTACTTAACTACCGAAATTAGTATTGTAAAAATGTTTTCATAGACCTTGAAAGGTAATCAAGAAGAAATTTAACAGCAGATTACACTGTTTACAACATGAACGCTATTATTAGAATAGAAGCAATGCATCATGATACTAACAATCATAATTAATCAAATGTGCAAAGTGATTCAAGTCACTTGAAGAATGGCTACAGAACTATTGGTCATAAGAATTATGTGATCAGTTAGTGTGATCCAGAAAACTTCTCGCAAAAGACAAAGGAGGCTCAGGAAATATTAGGAAGCATTTTATCCAATCAGCGTTCACTGGAATTTTTCCCGAAACATAATGGTGAAAAGTTACATGCATAGTCTCTGATTAGTTGGTTACTACGCTGCTACTATGTTTCGTTGCATTCCAGAATTTTCGGGAAAACCCAAGGACTTTTAAAAACCCTATATTTTCTTTCCATGAATGAAGCTTTGGAGTTAAGTGCTCCTTGCATATTTGCAGCTTTTTTTCTCGTATTCAAATTGCTGTGTAGTTTTAGTTGGCGGGGTTACGAGAATGTCTTAGGAACCGAGTATAGCGTTCATTAACGTGACTCATCAGTTAGCAATAGAATTTTTTATAAGATTACTCTCGCATCCTAGGATTATGTTTAGACTCAATTTTTTGGCGGTACTAAACTAGTCAATAGAACTGTTGAATAAGGACAAATTATTGAAAATTATAAGAAGAATATTACAACCAAACAAACCTGAATATCACATATTCAAGACCAGTCTATGAATTATATTGAATCGAAGTAGCAAATTCATCACCATTTGAAATAAAAAGCTAAACTGATTTATGATTATAAAGTGTAGAAATCAAAAGAATCACGAAGGATTAACTGACAGTACCAACAGATAAGTGTATATTACGGGTATATACTTTGAATTCGGAAAACCGAGGGCTACATAATCTAAAATTCAACATTAAAACCGACTAGAATTCGGTCATTTGGAAATATTTGAGTATTGTAAGGGCTTTCGCGTCTTAGTGACTTAACAACATTTCAAATGGCAAACATTTGCAGATATGACAAGTGCTTTGTTGCGTTCTTCGAAATGAAGTGAGCACAATTATGTTCAGAACGATAATGGAAACTTCGGTGTAGAACCACTCAGCTGAGAGAATATAACAATCGAAAACACTCTGACGGATGTCGGTGTATCCAAACTGAAGAATTTTTAAAAGGTCATTTTGGAGATGAATATGACAATTATAAAAAAAACCTGGACTGTTCAAAATATTTTCACTACTGTGAAATGAAGTAATTAGTCCATAATCCGAAATTCAGAGTGATGTATGCCAATTTAAGCCATTTACTATACAGCAGCGTTAGTTCACTTTTGTAAAGTTGAGCTCACAATGGTGCAATTCACCATATAACTACAGCGGTTCCAGGAAGCATGATTTTAGTTTTATTACAGTAACCTTATAGCAAATATCAACTGTTATGCTGGAAGCCTACCAATCATACATTTATAGATAAAGTAGAATTTGGAGCAAATATTTAGAATATGGATAGATGAAAGTGATAAAGCCCAAACACAAACTATGTGACATTGCTAAAAATAGAAAAGAGTCATCCATGATATTCAAGAGAACATTAATCACAGGATGAAAACTAAAGTAGGAGGAACTTTTAGAAGAAGAGAAACACTACGGATTGACATTTTTACGATAACCTAAACAAATTTATTTTCCAGCCAGCAACCAACTAAATTCAAGTAGTGTAACTAACAAAACAAATTTTTATCACGTATCTAAAATTCACACAAATGTAAACAACATATATCTATATATATATATAACTATATGTATATATCCTGTTTACAAGAATAACCAATCAAGTTAACCAATGAGCAGAAGGGGTACGTGTACAACAATTATTATTAATGATGATGATGATAATGATGATAATAATAAGTAAAACTTCAGATCATGTGTCAAATCATAGACAGACAAGAAGAATTATATAGGATTCTCCAATTGAAAGATAGAGAAAACGAGCAATAAAATCATCATTGGATCAAAGACAATCTAGTCGGAAACACAAGCAATCATCATGTTGACAATTTAGTAGACAATGTATAACATACATGACAAAGATTCACAAGAAACAGAATTTACAGTCATCAAACACATTTAATTTAATATTAAAAAACTCAAAGATACAGAGAATTGACACAAACAAGAAGAAAAATTAAAAGAAATTGTTCTGTTCATAGAAAAACTGGCCAAGACTACAAGTGATCTACAAAAAAATGATGTGCATTTTAAGACAAGTAGTGACCATTCTTTGACTAATGCCAATAGATTACAGTATATCGTAAGATATATTATAGTAAG